CTGTATTAAATATGCAGGTAGGATTTACTAAAGTAATAGGCGGTACGGGCTTCAAAGGCCCTCTAAGGGAATGGGAGGAGGTAGTTACCAGGGCCAGGGACAGCGGCCCATTCTGCGAAGGGTATCGACCCCAAGAGTCGCACCAACCCTAAATGTAATATGAATAGGCCGGGGTTGGACGGTGGCCGCCCAGAATCCAATGAGGTAGTGAAGGAAGGAAAGCAAAAAAGGTGAAGATTGTTGTGACGCATATTTAGTAAACCAGACTGTCATGTGAAAAAGTCATGTAAAGAGCTGTATGTGAAAAAAGCTTGCTTGTGTTTCATCCCTACGCTGTAAACACAGGCAGCAGGAGGCGTGCTTAGGAGTAGGAATCATCAGTACAGCCCTCTAACCACCATGTTGCAAAGAAAATTACGTAATGGAGAAAAGAAGTAAGATAGGAAAAACATGCAAAAAGGAAATGGGAAAAAAAAATAAAAAGTCTTAAACTAGTATGAAGTACGAAATTCTCAAATTTGCTTTGCTTGGACGCAGGTTCATAACGTAAGTAGGAAATAACCGAATGTTGTACCGGATTAGCGTCGGAAGTATTATATCGCAAATTACGTTAATCCCGTTTGCATTACAGTACAAGTATTCAGTAAGAGCAGCAATATACTTACAAATTTACGAACGCAGTGATTCAATTTGCCTGCATCGTAACCCTTTTCTAAGTAGCCGGAAAGTAATCGTCTGGTCCACCAAATAAATCGTTCTAAGGAGGTGCAGATGCGAGAGTATCGCAACATTTGAGAAATGAAAATATCTTCATGCAGGGTTCTATGAACATCACTATCCGAAGCATTTTAGAAGTTAACCGGAAAGGGGAAGTCAAATCCCTTATTATAAACATCAAAGATACAACCCGTACTATGGCAAGAGATTTCCAAATCAAGAAAACAACCTCTATGCCAGAAAACAAGCTAAAATCAACATGTTTTCAGAGACCGCATAAGGCGCTTGTGGAGTACAATCGGCAAACGGACCCACGTGGTTCCATGCACGATGTGAATTTGCAGTCTGATGACAACATCAATTTAAATATGCATCTCGACCATCATGATAAAATTCATTTAAAGTGGTTAGTAGAAATTCACTGTGGTCACCTACATCTTTTTTGAAACCTCCATGATAACTGTGAGACGCAAGCATACTTCGAACACATTTATCACCGGCTTCTCGTTCCGGAGAACTCAAGATTTGTAATGTAAGGTCGAGACCCAGCTGCTCAAAATATGAATAGAAGCACGCTTCAGGAAGTCGACGTTTTATGCGTTTTTGCGATAAATTGTTTCGAGCTCAAAAAAGGTGAATGCGACAAAAAACGCACAGAGTTTTTTTATCTTGTTAGATTTTTTTACGGTGCATCAGTTCAAGTGCCTCTACGTTTGGAAATTTGCATGCTTAAATTATACTGCAGTGAGGGTGGATAGTCTGAACGCAGCTTTCTTTCTCTGTGAGCCTGGTGTTAAAAGCAGTAATTGCCGTACAGACAAAAAGATTATTGTGGCTCGGTGTCCACACGGTACCTGATTCTAACTGATAATCGTTAAGATGCGTAACTGTGTCAGCGCAAGTTGCCATCTTTTCTATCATTTTAGAAGAAAAAGCATCAAACTTTATAACTAATCGAATTCTAGCTATGAGTTGCATGAACTGGCAAGAAGTTTAACAAGAACGAGCAATTGCTCCAAAAACTTTTCATGTCTTGTTCATAACTGCGAATAATTTTCAAAACATCACTTTCAGTGACCTGGACAAAGATCGAGTTCGAACCGTTTCAGCTGAACTGTCAGCAGCACCTTTTAGATCGGATCTTTTTGAAGTAAAGGGACATCTCAGTACTGACAGACCCCTTCAGCGAAGATCGCTGAAGACAAAAGCATCGTTCACCTTCAGGACTGATCAAGTACTTGCTCTTTGATACCATCATTTGCACCATCATTCCTTCTGGCGAATTTTTTACGATTGCAGTGAAAAAGATCTGTCAGCTGGTAACATCAAACGATCGTCGCTTGTGCAGTCTTTCCTTTTTCTAACGAAAAAAATGTGTCTCATTTCGCCCCACGGTTTTCAAGCTTGCTTCTGATGGTTTTCTCCACTTCTCTATTTCACACATCATTCATTTAAGCAGGTTCTAGAGCTGGCACCACAAATTTTCATGAGCAGTACCCTGAGGGTAAATGCGTCCGGATCCATACTCCCTCTCAATTCTACGTATACAGATTACACATCAACAAACTAGCGACATCAACCTTTAATTTTGCTTTTTACTATTTTCAACTGAAATGAGAAAAAAACACTCTGCATATCACTCCAGCTTTCTTTTTGCCTTCGTCGCAGTAGTTCCGTGCTAAACAGCAGGAGGGAGGAAAGCGGTGATTTCCTAAATTTCTGATCGATGAAGGAATTACTCTTGCAAAGCCTCTGTAAAAAGTGAAAAGTAAGCTAAAACAATTAACTGGCTTATAAACAGACATACCTTCAAGATTCTAGACATAGGCTTCATAAGGTAAACAGTTTGTGTATTTTTTCACGCGATCCGCCATCCGTGTAGTTAATTTCCACTATCAGATTTAAATTATAGAAAAAGTTTTTCGATAAAGCACGCTTGTAGAGGTAGATGGTTCTCCTTGTGCGGTAAGAAAGCATAATTGACCAGCACACCAACTGCCGGTACGAAGATGCTTTTTTGCACAGTTCCCGCGCAGGTTTTTTCGCTAGCGATACTGTTTTTCAGGCAGATGCTTCTAGCTAAAAGACTGAGTCTGGCCACTACAACTGCCAGAAAACATTCCCTTAAAATTTCAGCTTTCTAGCTTTTCTGTTTCTTGAAGTGACTCGCAGCCCATGCTCAAAAAAGTTTAACGCCCTTGACGCTTCGATTGCAGAGTTACGTCAAACTTCGCGTGTTTGTAAGTGAAAGGGGCATGAATGTTGTTTTACGTGCGTCTGCCAAACACGGTCCTGGCCGTGCTCAAAAAATTCCAGCACTCCAGCCGTTTTAGTTGAGGAGTTACGCAGAGTTTCACATATCCATACGTGCGGGAAAGGCAGATGCTGTTTTCACTTGTGTTTACTCAATACTGTCTTAAGTCACGCTCAGAAAATTCCAGCGCTCCAGCCGCTTTAATCGTTGAGTCACGTCAAGTTTTACGTGTTCGTAAGTAAATGGGAAACGTGAAAGTTCCTTTTATGCGCGACCGCCCAGTCACAGTCGTAGGTCATCCTCAGAAAGTTTCAGCTCTTTAGCTGCTTTAGTTCCGAAGTTACAAAACTGTCTATGTGAGATTTTCATGTATCCATACGTGAGATTCAGAGAGACTGGAAAGCTAAATTTATGGTCACGAGCACATCAGTGAGCGACAAAATTACAACTCTCTACAACTTCTTGATCAGTTTAAATCTGGAGTTGGCAGATGCCCGTTTAAAATTTGATATGTACATACGTGAGACCTAGGTTGTATGAAGACTGAATTTAAAATCTTCGAGTTAGACATGGCCAAATAACACCTTCGTGAAGTTTCAGCCTTCTGGCTTGTGCCGTTTCCAAAATCGCTTTCCCGCCAAAAAAATCTTCATGTGCCCGTACGTGAGAACTACGCGGGCTTGAGCGTTCACTTTGGGATTAGGGGCCCGCAAATACATGCAGATTAG